TTTTATCTTCCTGAATGTCCCATCCGGACCCAACCTTATCTCACCAATCAAACCATCGCAAAGAGTCCGAATACGTCCGTTCCATTCTAGGGTTTACGCGACGACTGCTTGCGCAAGACGTAAATTTCAATTAGGGAGCACATCCCATCAATCCATACATAACACATTATCATTTCTTCAATATTCAAGTGATCGAAAACCCAATACCACCCCAATGAAGTTTCCCGTTGAGTTAAATATTTTAAATCAAAGTTAGATCAACTTAACAAGATAATAATATCCACATAAGCATGAGCATGATCCATTGAAGAAGAAAAGGAACATAACCATAACACATTCAATATCATACCAAGACATGATCATGTACTAATAAGCATATTCATGTATACAAGAGCATAAAACACCCATGCAAAACTAAATTTCCAGATTCAGTACCCTTTAAAGATTAAAATCAAAAGGACTATTTTATATTTTTACTGAACTTGACCTTCCTATTGTTCGTAGAGAATTTAATCAAGTTTTCAGAACATGTTTCAGAAATGCGATAGCTTTTCTAAATTTTTAGTGATTTAAGAAACACTCCAGCGCTGTCCAGATTCGTCGACCGTTACAAAAATTGGAGTTACTCACAAATCGCTCACTCGTTTTCAATGAAACCAATTTTAATTGAAAACTAACTTCTTAAGGAAGATTTTGGCATAAAAATGAGGTCCAGAATATTTTTCTACATTTTTATAGAATTTTTGAAAGTTGGCTGTAAAAATAGATTTTTAATGCACAATACTCAAAAACAAGAGGATTTGTGAGAAGAGAGATCCACTAAGGGAAATTTTTCTTTATTTCTTTTGTGTGATGAAAACATGCTAAATAATAGATATTAGACTCAGAAATTTATCTTAAAGGTGTGCCTTTGGAAAGTTTGAGAGAGATATGAAAAAGATAGTTTTGTATCGGTTAAGGGAAACTACAAGAAGAGTAGAATCATGGCTCAACTCTTTTCATTTTTTTAACACAAGGAAATCATTAAAACGCATCTAAAAACAATGTTTAGAACCCTTAAGAGCATGTATTTGAAAAAGGAAAATGAAAGAGAGAGCTGTGTTGTGGCTTACTTGCTAGGCTAGGCCAAGTTGAACAAGATTGCTCTCCTCTTCCTTCCTCTCCCTCTCAAGACTTTTCTCTTGCTCTCCTCTAGGCCGAATATAGGTGTGTGTGTGTTGTTTGTGTATGCTATGCTAAGTGGGTGGTTGTATATATAGGCAAATTTGGTGTAAAAAGACACAAAGGCCCACTAGTTGGAATTAGATTGAAATGTTTGGATTTACTTGGAGTCTAATGGAATAGGGAGTGATTAGGGGACTTAATTATGTGATTATACAAGATTTAGTTAGTCTCTAGTTGGAATGGAACTAGGTTGGGGACACATTCCCTAGATTTAGGGGTACTTGGTACTTGTGCTTCTAAAATGTCATAATTACAAGTCTTGAAAATTGGTCCCTCACACTCTCCTAGGTTGGCCGGCCATGGGGAAGGGAAATGGAGAATATTTTATTCAATATATGAGTACTATGGATATATTCCCAATGTATATATAGATCCACAAATTGATTTGGTGGTACTATAGTATAAAAAGTACATGTACTAGTTTGGGGCAAATCTTGAAGTTAATAAAAGAAGTGAGGGCTTGAAATTAAACTCATGTATTGGAACCTTATTTGTGTATTTAATTATGATCTAGTTAGGTTTAGGGCTAATTTAAATACCTTTTAGTTAGAAGTACACTCATATATATAACAAATCTTTATAGGTACCAAAGTCATTATTGCTCCAAGATTTCAAGGGATTTGTTTGTACTAAAGTACAATGATTATAGCTTAGGAGGTATGATGGCTAGCCATGTGCTCAAGATTTGGGGAGATTTTTCTATTTATTTTGTGTACAAATTCCATAGATATTGTGTACAAAAAGGTTTGATGACTAAGAGGTACAAATATATATATATATATATACAATGGCACTAACTTGGGGTCAATTTGTGATTTAAGTAAAATATGAGGGCTACGGCCTTAATTTAGGAATTGGAGCATTTATTTTAGGGTAAGATTTAACTAAGTTAGGGTTAGAGAATCTAATTTGGTTTGAATTTCTTGTTTCGAACAAAAATGCGATCAACCAACGAACGTGATAAAGACCGGAAAAACCTAGGGTTTCCAAGTGGTAATTTCATATTTAGGGAGTCAATTAGAGTATTAGAAATTAATTCTATGTTTCCGAAATCGATTAGGGTTTGCGTTTTTTTTTTTGTTGGCGCATGTATTTAGATCCTAGGGTTGCAATTAAGAAACTGAGGGACTTCAAGGAAATAATTTAAAAGTAAGGGACTTTTAAGAAATTAAAATTTTCAGGGGTCTCACATGTTGAATGAAGAAACTAGAAGAAAATCAGTAGGTGTAAACACCCCATTTTTGACCGTCCTCAAGACTTGGACGTCATCGTCGGAACACTCGATGATCATCCATGATCGTGTTCGTTTTGAGTTCCCGAAGGACTCGGCTACGCGCCTTGCCTTAGGATCTCTCAACCTGACTTTTTGTCTTTGGTTGTGCACCAAGGGCTTGTTTTTTGTGCTTCTGAGTGTGGGAAGTGGCTTGTTAGCCATCCCTGAAACCCATCGGCTATGGCATGATGCCGTCGGCCATGTATTATTACTATCAGCCAAATGTTTGGCCGACCGGCACCCTTTTGTAGTCGACCGGCCTTTGTTTTAGTCGATCGACCCCTTTTCTGGCCGAGACCTTTTCGTTGTCTTTTTCAGGCATTGTGGATGCCAGTTGTGCCAACTGGTGAGCACAAACTCTGCCCTCCATACACGTGTATGGAGGGATTTCATCCTTGAGCTTAACTTCCCTTGGAAGCTTTGAATTTGATTTTCTATAAGAGGAGGACCTCCCCTCCCTTTCCAGGGGTTGAACAACTCTGAGATAGAACTTACATATCTATATCTCTCTATATCTCCCTCTCTCTATATAGTTGTGTGTGTAATAGTGTTCTAAAGGGGTTTTTGTTCTTAGTTTTGCACTAAGACACCTAGTGTTACACTTTACTTTGGTTGCTGAGGTTTTAAGGGGTTGAATTCAGATTTTTTGAGTTGGTTTTGATCAAAAAGAGGTGCTGGAGTTGGTGTTCTTGAAGTGTTCTTCAAGGGTGAGAACTTACCCTTTTATTCCCCATTTTTGCTTAAGGTTTTAGACCTATTTGCATATTGTTTCAAGCTTAGTGTATAACTGATAAAAGTTCTTCATACAAAGCGCTTAACATCAGCATCTCAAATTTGCGTTAATGCCTCCGCTTCGACCCATTTTGTGAAGTAATCTATCGCGACGGTCAAGTATCGGTTGTTCCCTAGGGCCCTTGGCAATGGTCCTATGATATCAAGTCCCCACTGGGTGAACGACCAAGGACTGGTAATAGAGCTTAACTCTTCAGCAGGCAGATGGGTTAACGGGGAGAATTTCTGGCACTGTTCACATTTTTTCACATAGCATTCGGCATCAG